CGTGTGGCCACCCACATTTCAATCGAGCGGGCGACAGTTGAGCCCACAGCTCAAATGCCAAGATGACGCCCAAATAGACTTAATACACTTTCGGCACACCAAATTCACTTCCTTAATTGAAATTTTAATTTGAATACTTTGCCAAAGTTTTGGCATTCAGCCCAGGATCATAGAGTGGAGTGGAGCGGGCAGGGAGGAAGGCGTGTCACAAGATACACACACACACAGACACACACATTCGCACAATAACAAAAACAGGCAAACAAACAAGCAAAAGTCGCTGCTGTCGCCAACAAGGAGCAACCAGTCAGCCAACAGCCAACAGCTCCCCCTGCTGTTCCCCTGCTCCCACTCCTGCTGCTCCTGCTGGTGCTGGCTGGCGTCTGCTCGTAGACTCCTGGATATACAGCAATCTCACAGGCTCAGCGCTTTTCAATTTACGCGCCGCGCAAATCGTTTGTCATTTTATGTATGCCTTAATATATGGCATGTGCGTGTCGTGGCGCCCGCTCTGCCATCAGTGAAGAGATCTAAAATACCACGCCTACCCGCCCACCGGTAAAACACACTCCTTGCCATCAAGAGCGTAATTTCTAACCCAAATGGTAACCAGCCAGCGTAACTAATCCGCCCAGGCAATGATATAAGCGCCAACTGATGAGTCGCTGCTTGCCAAAACTTTGCCAGATGTATATATTCAGATAACCATGTGTGTACATATAGATATGCGTATGTATGTATAAATATACCGGCTATAGATGAAGTTGTATTTCTGACTTTCAGACTGCTCGTCACGGAAATTTTAATTGTCACTTTATGCTCAAGAGCTTTGCAAGCAAAATGTGCTATAATTCTAATAATCACATTAGAGTATTTTTTATATGCTTTGAAGATAATCAGGAATCGGCTCACTTATGTTAATTAAATTATAATACAAATTGTTCATTTTATTTTTTTAGTTTAAATATAACGAAGATGTCGAAAATGTTTATATTTAATTTTATTTTTTGTATATATTTAATATATATATTTATTATAATTTTTACAATTCACCTTTAACAAGAGCTAAGCCAACCTTTTGACTTACTAATTCTCTGCTTCCAATTACTATGCAATACTGTCTTGAAATAATTAATTAAATAGCTAAGAAAGTCATACAGATCACATATGATCACATATATGATATTTGTACTACCCCAACTTTAATTGACACAGCTCGATTCTCTATACTACCTACTCCAATCAGTCGACTCGCAATACCAACTGATCCAATCAGAGAATCACTGTTCGAAGATCCAAAATAAATACAAGTTTGCACAGCAATAGATAAGCGTAACACTGATGACTTGGTGACTGGAACCTGATATGTGTGGAGCGAACACAGATAGCTTATGTATGTTTAGCTAGTGTGTATGTAAATACACACATATAGAGCACATACCTCGGACGAGTTTGAATGAAGCCAACAGCCTGGCCTGCCTGCGTCTATTGTTCGTTAATTAAGTCATTTTGGCCGATAAACCACAGGGTAAGGTGCTTTCGGCTTGTAGCCAAATGGGCGGCTGCTTGAACAAATAAATTGCAATTACTTTTGCTAATTGTAATAGACGCTTGTCATTATCTAACAGCTGCATAGATAATGCTTCGCCTTCTGGTGAATACCCTAAAAACAATGTGATTTTTTATCGCTGTGAGCCTTTGAACAAAAATGAAATACATATGTACGCATATAGATATGTATACATATATGTATAAATATATGTATAAATATATAAGTGAAGAGCGTGTCAGACCGCAGTTAGCGAATCATAGCACTTAATACTCTGATAAGATGTACGATTAGCATGCTAAATTAAAAAAAAAAAAATTGTATAAGACCAAAGAAGAGAGCAACAAATTTTGAGCGAGAACACACGCTGCTGATATACCTTAACCACGACAACTTGGTTGAGAATATACTAACATAGATATGCGACAGAACTCATAAAGATATCGTAGGATTCATGAATACTGAATCTAACTGAATCTATGTACATATTAAATACAATTTTATTCATGTACACATATTTAAAGTACGATTTTAAATATTTCCGCCCATGGAAGACTAATGTGTCTCTCAATATTCTTCATAGCTTGGGCCTAGCTTATAGGGTAATGCACATGCCCTATTTCGATTGCAGGGTATTTAGCGCACTAATCGGCTTCGGCATTGGCATCGACTGTTCGAGTGTTTCGGTTTCCCGGACACGCTTCGCATTGTTGCTTAGCTGTTTTTCAGAATTGTTTTGGTTGTTAACGACATTGGCACGACGATGGGCGACGAGCGGTCTGAATGTGGGTCGGTATCTGGCTCCAATTGGGGGGCCTTGCACGCCGTCACACCGCAAGACAAACAACAACAACAACAACAACATCCGCAGCCGCAGCCGCAGCAAGAAAAGGAACATCAGCCACTGCGTATAATTTGTGGTAAGTGCTGTGCCAGCAAGACAACTAACCATTTGAACTACTCCATGTGTCTATTGTGACCTTTACATCAAAATTTCCCCCTGTTTGGCTTACCAAAATAAACTAAGTAAATAGAGAAGTGTGGGGGGTTTTTCTCGCTTGCGTGTTTACCTTCCCACATAAGCACACAGAGAGCCAAAAATATTGGCTAGCAAACGACTTAAATTTCCTTTTGATGATGGCCATCTGGAGGCTGCGGTAATCCCCCCAAGAACATATATATATAGCTGGTTGTGCGTGCTGGTTGAATGACAGATTGGCCTAATGAAAAAAAGCAGGAAAAACTAGTACAGCGAATCCATAATACACTACACGATGTTCTCTAACTAAATCAAGGTATGAGCTGTTTAAGAAGTTAATAGTCTGTGGCAGATAAGATACCCACAAAAAATGAAACAATTCATTCATTTACGACTGTAGCTTGAAAAACAAGTTTCTTTTATTTTGAGTCAGAGTCCATAACTTTGTTTCCATTCCCACATTGCCAAAAAAGTTTTCAAAATATCAACATCGTTGCCAAATTTAGACTACGCTTAAAAATTTGACTTCTATTAAAAAAAAAAAAAAAAAAAAAAAAAATTGAGCTCAAGCATACCTAAAAAGTCAATAAGTCATCTGCATAGATAAATAGACTTTCGATAACTAGATATGAAATATGCAAGAAATCTGATAAACGTCACAAGCGCCATTACAGTATGGAAATGCTTTGCAAAATACTGAAGAGCAGACAATGAAATACTGATATACAAAAACTGCTAATTTATCTATCAAAGCGCAGCGTATTGACTAAAGCAATTTAACACATACATTCGCTCAGTGCTTCCCCTCGAAATCAACAAGGGACTTCCCCAACAAATTACAGATGGCTAAAAAAAAAACATATTTTAACGACAGAATTAAGAACACTATAGAGCGCGCGGGGCAGACAAACAGAAGAGCAGCTTAGTGCAAGACAGTGATAGGCCATTCAGAAGTGCAGTTCACAAAGTTCAGGCAATCGATAAGATCTTGGGTAAAGAACCAAGGGATATACTATAGTGCAGATTAAAGAACTTATGCAAGTGTAAACACAGCTGTGACTTCCACTTGAATATAATTGCCCAAGAGTTGTTAGCTAATGATAAACGTAAATAAATAATATTCACATTGCAAAAATCACACGATAGTTGAAGTCACGGACAAATGCTGGCTGCTACACACCTTGGCAACGAATCGTTATTTGCGAATAACTAACATATGCGCATATGTTTACCTAAGATTTGATTAATGTTGCTCTAAACTTAATATTTATCGTCGCACAACCTTGCTGAGCAAGCCTCACCAGCATAAATTAGGTCTTTCACTCAAGGTGAGCAGCGTTTGGTAAATATAACATAATCGCACAATGAGCGAGCTATAAAGATTATTCACCAAAGAATCTATCCAACCAAAGTCTAACTCCAAGCAAAATGACCGAAAAAATGTATATTAAGGACGACCTAGAACACAATGACATGGCATTAACGAAGCAAATCTAGAAATATCAAGTCGAAAATGAAATACAGCGAGCAATATATTAATAAGCTATTCATCTTGACAGGTCTAATAAATACATAACATTAGAATTGACAGTTCTTCATTTAATTTAATTTACAAATTGGAAAGTACAAATGAAAATTTAAGTAATCTGATGAGAGTCGTTGGCTTCTATATTATACAAACAAAAACATGATAAATGAATAATTAACAGGCGATTAGTTAAGGGCCTTCCAGACATGACTCATGCTCAAAACTTTCGATTGGCCTATTACAAAACGTTGCAAGGTTTAGCTGTCATCCGATACACGGGTTATCATTCATGCCATCGAGAAAGGCTACAGCGAAAAGCGAAATAAAAATACCCGCAACCTGAGTGCAAGCAAAAAGTACCGTTCAGCGGGCCATGTAGACAGCAAAACGAGCTCCGCATGTCATAAAATGTTATAAAAGAGGTCGACTGAAAATTTTGCTAAATTTCACATGTAAATCACACACAGGAATTCGAACCTATATCAATTCTAACGGTGCGTTTAAAATTAATTAATAGCGCGCGGGCTCGCCCGTGAGAGAGACAGAGACCACACAGAGACCAAAACCCAGTGAATCGAATTGATAACATTATCAGCAAATTGAGAGCTAACCGATCGTAGCCGAGGCGACGGCCGCAACAGCAACAAACGATTGAGCTGAGCGGAAGCGAGCACAGCGGAGCGGCAATGAGCAAATCGAACGAGCCGTAGAACAGCGACGCCGACTAAGCGACCGCGACCGCGAAGCTGACGCAGACGTAGACGCTGGCGCTTGGTAATAAATTTCATACGATTTAAAAATTGTTTGGCATTGCGCGCAGGCAACAACAGCGACGCTGACGTCGACAGCGCTGGTGCGAAAAAAACAAAACAAAAAAAAAAATCTCAAACGAAAAAAAAAAAAAACACAAAATAATTAAATACATTTCATTATTTGATTTTTTGTTGTTTTTTTTTTTTTTTTGGTACGAGTCTATAAACATTGGTGCGCCCTTATGCTGCCCAATCATTCGCTCTTCAGATTCGCCGGAACGCGAAACATAACGCAAACCTAATCTGACAAATAAATATATATTTCAAGAAATATATAAAGCATGTGAACAATTGGAGCTCGAATATTTTTTACAACAAATTTGCACAATTCTTGCCAAAAAGAAAAAATAAAATAAAATAAAAGTAAAAATATATGTACAAGCTAAATCAATACAAATTGAATTAAACTTTACAAATCAATTTAAAAAGTTCCTAAGTTCGTTAAAAGAAGAAATTACATAAAATAAAGCAGTTCCTAAAACACGCAACACCTGCCAGTATGACAGCACTTGGATTACTTTTGCTATCTATGATGGGTAAGTGTGGGTTGTTAATGCCTTATCGATAGGTCGCCCATGAAATATACACTCACACTCACACGCGCACGCACACGCACACAGACAGACTTGCCGCTTATCGGTAATTTCTGCACGCCTGCTAAATGCCAACTGGAAATTGTTGTCAGCTCACCCTGTAAGCTGAGAGAGCGCAGAGGGAGAGAGAGAGGGAGATAGAGAGACTGGAATGGCAGACGAAAGCAACAGCGAGGAGATATGCATCTTATACATTGGGTAATTTGTATACTCGCAGTGCTGCTGCTGTTTCAGATTGAGCGTAAATTTAATTACTTGCATTTAACAAAAATGTTATATAGCTGGCAGCAAGCCCGCACATGCGACACCCACACATCCACACACACACATTTATTGACAGTCAGGCAGGCAAGGGAATTTTTTATAATATGCACATTATAATTTAGTGCTTCTGTATTTATGAATACGCTTTTACGCATTAAGAGTATCAAACTTGCAATTAATATCTTAGCCAACTAAGCATTTTGCTGAAACGACAAATGCATGCATACAGGAATTTATTATATTTTGTGTTGATAGACAACATTTTATAAAGAATTTTGTCAATTTTAATGAAGCATAAAATAATTATTTAACATTAAAGAACAGTTTATTGACGATGTTCAGTTTGACCTACATTTTATTTGCTTAATAGATTTCCAAGATTTAATGAGAATTCAATACTGAAGATAAATATACCTTACGTCAGCATTTCTTTTGTTTTCTCCAATTTTTATTTTATTTATTTATTTATTTATTTATTTTTTTTTTTTGTATTATGTCTTTTAACGATTATTGAAATACGACTACTGAAATACGAGTATAAAAAATAAATTTATACAAAAATAATTCAATATCTAAAAGTATAAAAAAGATTTTTTTTTAGTTTTCTTTTGACATAGGATACGAAGGCCTTTAAAATGTTTATATATTTCTCTTTTAATTAATTTATTTTATGAAATGGTTAAATGTTCTATTATTGTTTTTTTATCTGTCAAACATTTAATGCAAAGAGCTAAGAGAGAATGCGTACGACAAATATCAATTTTAAATTGTTTCCTTAACTTGTTAATTTGTTTGCCATTTTATTTTATTTTATATGAACAGTTATAAAATAGAGCATTAAAATTTGTATACAAATTATAATTTTTTTGTTTTTTGTCATTGTCATTGTTTCTTTTAGCTGGTATTTTTTTGATTTTTTATTTTTTATTTTATTTTTAATTCTGCATGACTTCATTTGGAATATGTCCGCTTTCATATAATATTATGACATATTATAGCATACTCTCGTTGTTCAAAAGAAAAATATTTGCTTAATGCGTATGGAATGCTCGCACACATAATATGATTCCGCAGGTATGCGTGAGTGTGGTGTGCGTGTGTGGTGGCGAATGCGTGTGCGTGTGTGTGTGCTTGCGAATAAATAGCATATTTTATGTGCTTTGACTGATTAAAAGCAAACAAGGGCGCACGGGCGAGAAGATTGACATTTTGTGGCTGCAATTGAATAAATTAAATTCCTTCAATTATGAAACAATACTTGATCAAGGATAACGTTTTATCAAATTATCAAAGATAGCACCACGGCTAACGGAGGAGATATGCGTACGTCCTTCCTCTTTTATCCTCCCTTTCTTACTCAATAGTCTATCTGCCTCGTTCTACATATTTGTGTATGCCCCGAGCTATTTTCATTTGTGGCGGCAGAGAGCCTTACATTTTTGAGGCAATTTTCTAGTGAAATACGATTCGATTTCCAAGACAGACCTCGAACCCAATTATTAAATATCTCTCAGTTAAACGTTGTTTATGCGTGGGCGTGACTGTGTGCGTGTGTGTGTATAGGTGTATATTTAGGCTGTAGTTTGCAACATTGATTAGCACACAACGAGTTTAATGTTTACTCTATTAGGCTGTGCGTAATTAGGGCCAGTGATTAGAGGAGCGTGTGCGAAATTGGGGTTTCCAAGAGGCGCTCGAACCGGCTGAGCGATAAATATACGATGGGGGAATTGAACGAGTGAAAGGGTGAGAGTGCGAGAGAGTTTATAGACGTAATTAACGTGTAACACTACAATATTCACAGCAAAGGCATAAATTAAATAGCAAACGATTTGACAGACAGCTTCCCTTTAACACGCTCTGTTTATTGTGCAAGCACGGGCTGCCAATAGACTTCGCTTCAGATTCAGCTTCAGCTCTATCCAGATCCGAATCCAGCTCTCGTCTATCTGCTACATCCGTTGGGCAGGTGAGTCAGGATAGTCGCAGGTGCTAACAAAAATGTTTTGCTCTCCAAACTTCTAATTAGAAACTGCTGCCGCAGTTCAGATAGTCAAGTCATGAAGCAGCGGATCCTTCTCAGCGCTTCCCTCGCCTGGCCTCACTCACCATTTTACCAACTTTGCGTATGCATATAAGTGCGCCGGAAAGTGGGCGTGGCAGCGCTCAAGTTGCTAAAGTTGTCGACGCTTTGGCAAACATGGCAAATGGTTGCTGTTTAAGTTTCACTCTCCAACGCAGACGACATCACACTCGCTCACACACTCACACACACATAAACACACACTCACAAACTAGAAAACCCCAAGCATACACTGAATTTTGAATGAAATAGTTTTTGGTCGGATTTATTTGCATTTATGAGTTGCGGGCTGAAGAGCAACCAGAAAGTCAACTTCGAAGGCCGGGCTGTGGCCTACAGACGACTGTGTCCCAACTGATAGATGATACCACCTGTTGGCATACCATTTGTATAAAACTTTAGCAAAAATAGACGAAAAAAATCATTTCTGTTAGTCTCTCAATCTGAGTCATCATTATTTGTGGATTATCGTACACATAGGAATTAAATGCAGACAGCTTAAATACACTAACAAATATAACCGAAGAATATAGTCATACCGCATCACTAATAAATTTAAAATTGATGATAAGTTCATGTCTGCAGTTTTATCCATTTAAAATTATATAAACAGCTGCGATAATGCAAATATAAATTTTAGATAAATATCCTTGGTAATTTAAATTCGACATCTAAATTAATACCAATAATATATTTTCTAATAATCAATCAAAATTATTTTGAAAACATTTAATTTCAAATGAAACTTTTAACTGTATATATATGTATACGTGCTTCTTCTTATAAGTAAATAATTGACTATAAATGACAGATAATTGCTTGACAGCTGAGATGTTAAGTAGGAAAATAAAAAATTGAAGATTCAGCAATTAAAAATATATTTAAAACAATTTTTAATGAGGCTATATATGATTCACGTTGCTATGCTAAAGTCAATAAGGAATTCTTATGGGATGGCTAATCAAGTACAAAGGAGTCTACAGTACTTTTAAATTCACTTATATAAAATTTCTTACCGTGCAGAAATTTTTGTATAAATTTAAGAAACTTTTTCCCATAAAATTGTAGTTAAAGATCTGTTGATTACAGTTTATTGATTACATTTGTATTCTCATAAAATCGTATATCTAGAAACAAGTAAGAAAGCTCTAGTCGAGACTACTCGACTACGAGATCCCCTGAACCCTTGGAGTAATAGCTATTTCAATAATTTTTCGCGTCTTTCAGCTTACACAAGAAACACGCACACACACACACACACACACACACGCACGCACGCACACACAGGCATACATACACACACATACATACATATACACACACAAGCATAAACACGCATGGGCGGCAGTGAGCGCTTACTATGAGAATTTAATTGCTTAATAACTTTTTTGTGGACGTACGATCTTCATGAAACTTTCAGATTATGATTATAACATGGATATGCATGTAATTGCTAAAGCACAAGTCTCTAGTATTTGAAATACGCTTTTTACAAAAGTGAGGGTGAGGGGGTGAATTTAAGGGTGGGGGGTAAATTTAAAAAAAAACGAAATTGTATAACTTGCAGATAAGCTGGAAGATTGGAAGTCTCTAGCTCTTATATCTTCTGAAATCGACGCGTTCATACATACGGACAGACGGACAGGGCCAAATCAGCTGAGTCGCCCTGATCAAGAATATATATACTTTGTGGGGTCTGCCACGCCTCCTTCTGCCTGTTACATACATTTCAACAAAACCATTATACCCTGATTTCCCATTGAAAATGGGTTCAGGGTATAAAAAGGACACCGTTTATGTTTAAACAAACGCTTTATTTGCCTTGCCATACCCTACGCAACTTGAAGCGTATTAAACGTTTTAGTAAACAAAATAAATTGTCAAACAAACTTTTTGCATATTTTATATAAACCGAGGCCGGTTCATTAATTGACACGTTTGTCAAAGAAATACAAACAGAGAGAGGCAGAGACAGAGGCAGAGAACCAGAGTGGGAGCAATGATGAGAGCAGTTAGGAGATCAAGATTTCTAAAATGTGCATATTAAAAAAAAAAAAAAAAAACAAAAAAAATCAAAAAACAAATGATTATATCAATAGCCGATCAGAGCTCGGTTCAACTACCTGTTTGGGGGGACTTTAAACAAGTCCCCGCTCTGTCTCTCTCTATAGGTTTCTGCATCTCCCCCGCCCACTCTTTCTCTGTGTGTGTCAAGCGGGGAATTTTTATTAGGCGAAACGAGTGTCAGCTGGCTCGTGTGCTTCATTGCGATTTCTCACCTCGTTGAGGTAACACAGCAACACACAGAAAAACCACCAGCAGCGGCGGCTGCTGCTGACAAATCGACGGGGGAGTCCGTATCGAATAATTTATCAATGGCTACGCGGAAGCAAACCTGAACGCTCGATTCAACTAAGTTAAAGACAAAGTTTAGCAAACTCTTGCAATTAATGCTAACAAAGTTGGGTAAGACACACACACACACACACACACACACACACGTATCTACGACTCATCTCAGGGCGGGTGCGAAAATTGTAGCAAATAGTAAATAAACGAAATTGAAGCTGAAATTGAAAACCAAGTTAAACAAGTTAACAAACAACTAATGGTAAATCTTTGCTCTACAGGTTATAGCCAACACATGCAACCTGTCGCAACGGATGGTGTTGCGGGTGGTGCAGCAAGGAGCTCGCAGCTGTTGTCCCGCGCTGATTGGGGCGCCCGCGTGCCGAAAGAGGTGAACTATTTCGAGGGCCCCGCTCCGTATGTCATCATACATCATTCCTACATACCCGCCGCATGTGTGACGACGCCGGACTGCATGCGCAGCATGCGCGAAATGCAGGACTTCCACCAGGTGGATCGCGGGTGGAACGACATTGGCTATAGCTTTGGCATCGGCGGCGATGGTCTGATCTACACGGGACGTGGCTTCAATGTGGTGGGCGCCCATGCGCCCAAATATAATGACAAGAGTGTGGGCATTGTGCTCATTGGCGATTGGAGAAGTAAAGCCCTGCTTTAAATATTCCAAAAGATGTACTAATCTATTCCTTTGCTTCCTCTCTCTAACAGCTGAGCTGCCCCCCGCTTCCATGTTGCAGGCTGCAATGGATTTGATTGCTTTTGGTGTTGCCAAGGGCTACATCGATCCATCCTACAAGCTGCTCGGGCATCGTCAAGTGCGAGACACCGAATGCCCCGGTGGTCGACTGTTCCAGGAGATCTCGACGTGGCCGCACTTTACACAGCTCAACACTACTGCCGAGGTGCAGCCGGTGGCTAACAAGATTTAGGGCCGCGCCCAGAAGCTACTTCGATTCAACGAGAGCCTCCAGCCCGGACAAACGAAGAGACGCCTATTCACAGTATTTTATAAGAGATAGAAAGAGAAAGCGAGACAAATAAACACAACCTATTAGCAATACAATTTTCAACGACCGACGACTCATTTAATTAAAAAATTATTGGTCTGTGCAGCTCTCAACGCGCGATTCGCGATTGCAATTTGATTGCGTTCCGCGACTACTTTCAATTAGTGCCACCTTTTATTTCGATTTTTTGTGATTTCATTTAAATGTTTTATTTTTACGTTTCAAACTGCTGTTAATTTCTCTACACTCATCAAAATGATTTACGAACGTCCTGGCAAGTTTTCAACTTGTCAGCGCATCACAATCAAAACAAAAACCACAAAATGAAAAGTCAAAAAAACACAAAAATAAAATGAAATAAATAAATAGCAATAAAAAGTAAACAAAATAATGAAACTTGCTACCAAAGTGACTTTTAATTTCATTGATTTTTTGCTATGATTTACATGAAACGAAACAAACTTAAATATGCGCAAAACGCAACCAAACGAGCAACAAAAATGCGATTTCGGGAGAAACCAAAGGTCAGGACTGAATATATATTATATATATATATATATTATATATGTATATAATTTGATAGTTTTTCGACAAAATTTTAAACTGGACTTCTGTATGCACTTTAGATTTAGCTGAATAATTCCAAAATAATTTAAGCAATCATTTTCGGCTACTCTAACCAAAAAATGATGCAGAAAAAGAATGTAAATAATATTTAACTGAAATTAAGTTTTTTTGCTACTCCAAAAAATGCTCGTTTACTTTTTATGCGCGCCATAATTGGAGCAAATAAATATATCTATCTTTTATCACATATCAAAATATATACTATATATACAAAATATAAAAAAAGTTTTATGGTTTTCGGTATGTGTATGTATATTAGTGTATATGTATAGGTATGTCCGCAAATATTGTAATTAAATTAAATTTAGATTAAAATGTTTTTTATTACATTCGCCAAACATCATAAATATTATGCAGTTCCAGGGTATAGATGGTAGTAAATGATTTTCTGGCCCAAGCGCAAAAGTATGCAGCGCCAATTTTGGTGCCGAGTTTAGCCCCGAAACTATGCACACATTTATATTTATCCATATAGATATATAGTATGTGTATATATACATACATGCACTATATGTACCATCATGCTGAACTGGGAAATTTAAAACACAAGCAGAACAAACAAAAAGTACGTAAATTGTTTCACGTGCGCCAGTTGAACAATATGAAACTATCTTATATTTTATGTTTCTTCCCTGTGGCAGTCGATTTACTCGTGTTTTCATTGCGTATACGCCTAGTGAAAATCAAATGCATGCAAATGACAGTGTTGAAAAACACAAAATTACCTAAAGTTTACTGTTTCAAAGCAGGCAAGGCATTGTTTTGATTTGATTCTGATTTGATTTTTATGCTGTCGCTTATCTAATTTTAAATTGTTTTTCTATTAAATATAAACATTTTTGATTACAAATTACCCTGACAACCTTACATCCTGAGCCTTTCACACTTTCAAATTTAAAATAGAAATTAATTAAATAATTATTTATAAGTACGCCATAGGAAGCGAGCGGGTGTGCGGGCGGTCGAACGTGTGTCAATTTGAATTTGCATCTATTTTAGATATTTCAGTAATTTGACACTGAAGAACGAGTGCCAGCCCGTTGAAGTTAATTGAAATTATGTGAGCTCAATTTCAGAGCCAGCGTCTTCTGAAGGTGTCTGAGTTTCCTTAATGGCATTTGCTATACATTCTCTTTGGGCTTTCTGTCGTTCCTTAGTTTCGGAAGTCATGGACTCCCCACTTTTTTCCCTTTGCATCTTTCCTCGCTGCATAACTCAGACTGCCGCACCTTATCACATTTTTCTACATTTACCGCATTTTGTCATTTCTTTCCTTTTCTTTTTAACGGAAATTCGGTCTTTATTTCTTCCTTTCAATCGGTTTATGGCTTGCACTTGAATTCCTTGGCCTACTTTTTTTTCCTTTTTCCTTTTTTTTTTTTGGTTTTCTTTTTTATACTTCAATTGTCTTGCTTTTTTCTTTCTTTCTTCGCGTCGATACTTAATGTACCCATCTTTTTAAACTATTCCCATTGCTTATCTGGCAAACCCATCTGCTGCCTCCCACCCGGTCGATTCTTACTTGTCAACTCTTTGTCGCCTTCGGTTTTTACTGCTATTCTTGCATTAATTCACTTTATTTCAAGTTTAATTACTTTTTTCTTTTATTTCCCCCAAGTCTTTCAGTAGGTTCTTAGCATAGTTTTATGGCAGATAATTATGTCGTAGCTGCTTTTTATAGCACGCAACATCTTGTCCAGTTTAACTATCTTTTTTATATACTAATAATTTCTATATACTCATAGTTTGACTTGGGGTCAAGAGTATTTAACTATTTGTTTTATTTACGTATTATTTCTACAGTTGCGAATATGTTTCTAAATTTATGTTTGAAGTTGAAGGTACTTTATTAGCATCATTCAACTTTTGATTACTAAAACTTCTAAAACAACATTTCTCATACTTTACCCTAAAGTATTCTGCTGAACTGGTCAGAGTTTTTGCATTTTCAGAACTTCTCGCACTGGTTCACACTGCGCGAATGCAATTCAACTAATCGATATGCAATCATTTGGATACTAAAAATAAAATTTATCACGCACTAAACGATAGCAAATCGCTCAATCCCAGTCGAACGCAAATGTCAGACGCATTCAGCAGATAGAACACCGAGAATAGAGGAGTGAAACAACTGGGCGATTGCGACAATGTAAATATTGCAAAAAGAACCTCAAGAGTCCAAGAAAAGCAAACATATTTAACAGGAATACAAAAGAACAGAAGCAATAATGGGTTTGGATTTTCTAGAAGATTGGTTTTTATCACAGGGTAAGACGTACTACGCCCTCAACTAATAACAAAAATTAAAAACAACAACAACATGTGTATACCCACCCACCTAAATAGTTTCCTTAGCAAGAAACTTGCGTAATTGAGACCCATTTAATGTGCTTAAATTAAATGATAAACGTTTCGCCTTTGAACGTTATAAATGCAGACGCCGGCTACTCAAGCAAGACACTTGAGCTGCTACGAATATATATACATTATATATACTATATGCATACATATTCATAATTCCAGTTCCATTGAACTATGCTGCACCTGCCATAAGGTCAAAACGGCTGCGCGTCTCTCGGCCGTCCGAGCAAATGGCTAAAAATATTTATATTTTTCGGCCAAAATAATTTTCAATTTCATTTTTTCAAAATATTTTCACGAGAGCGAGCAGAGAACTTGCGCTGAGAGCGAAATTATATTTTCTTGTTGTTGCCGTTGTTGTTGTGCTTTTCGAAAATTTCTAGCATTTAGCGTGCTGTTAAAAATACATGAATTTAGTTTTTGAAACGCCGTCATAGGCGCTGCGTGCCGAGCAAACACAATTGTAGCTAAACCGTGTCTCGCCGTATTCTGTGTTTATTTGCCCCACTGTGCCACTGTGTGTGTGTGTGTCCGTGTGCATGCGCGTGCGTGTGTGTGTACGTGTATGTGTAGGCGTTCTGTGTAATATATAGGAAAAACCTGTCTATAAACAGCCGCAACTGCACGTTGCAGCTGCACTAGCCGAATCAAATAGTCAAATAAAATATTGAAAAATCATTAAAAAAAACAAAGTCAAATCAAAGCAAATTATATTTATAAATAAATCTAGCAAAATGCTCAGCATGCCACAAACAGATTTGCATAGCCAATGCCTCCGATAAAACTAGACAGACAAACTAACAAGAAATACAAGAAATACTGCAAATAAAAAAATAAAAAAATAATACAAATACAATATATATATACAATATATATATTTATATATATTTAAATTAAAAACAGTTTGCTGCTGAAAAATAGAAAAATAATTTAAAAATAACATTTCCTTTATATGACACATACATTCTAATTATATCCAGAATTCAACCAATTTTTCTCTCCAAAAAAACTTGTTGAAAATAAATCAATATATAACATTTTCCTTTTAAATTGTATTTGAATGCAATATTGAATCTCACGTTTCTCTTAATAATGTCAAAAATATCAACTGAGCGTTATTTAAAGCAGAGCTTTTCAATATCGTTAGCTTCCTCTTAAAATCCGATTTTTCTTAATTGCAATAAATTTCTCACAAAATTGCTGGCCATTAGGATTTAGAGGCTTTTATGTCGCGTCGTCTATATTATTCCGCCTCTCTAATGACGGCATATTTATAAGTAAAAATTTTATATTTGCATGTCATGTTTAATTAACGCCTCCAAAAGCGAAGGCAAAACTGAAAATTTGTTGTTTTAATTTTAAAAAAGAACGAAACAAAAAATTTGCAAAAGGCCGTTGGACGAATTGGAGAAATGGAGATGAAAAAAAATTGAGAAAAAAAAAAATGGAAAACCATGGAAACTGGCAATGGAATGAAACAAATTCACATTTCATTCTCTTCTCTGTTGCTTTTTATTTTGGATTCTCTTTTATGTGTGTGTGTGTGTAAGTTTGTATATGTGTGTGCGTGCGTTTTCGTTTCATTGTATACTTTGTGAAACGAGGCAAAAGACGCAAGCGTCAGAGTGAGCACGGATTTTTTTTTTTTTTTTGAATTTTCTGATTTTTTTTTTGTTTTTTATATTCTCCCGACGCTTTTTGCTCTCGCTGGCACAAAGAACCTAAAATTAAATATTTTCGCCTTTTACATATCGGAGGAGAGGCACATTGGCATAGCAAATTGTTCGCTGTCATTTGTTGCCATTGCTGCTGCTGCTATTGTTGTTGTTGTTGTTATTGCAGCCTTTGTTAGATGGAATACAACTGAGTAGCACACAAAACTTGTTAGAGCTGGAGAGGAATTTGGCTAATTTGAACAGTTTAGACGGCGTTTGTGTCTATATGACACAAAGGCCTACTTTTTGCATAGTTTTTCCTTTTCTATTTTGGCCAAAACAGATACGCTAACAGAAACAAAAAACAACAACAACAATAGCAGCAGCAGCAGCAACAGCAAAGGCAACAAATG